TTAAATATGATATTCATAACATTGTTCTCCAACTTAAATACATATCCATCTTTATCTAATAAAGATATGGATATTATATTACACATCATAGTTGGTACAAAATAGCAGCTATTTAAAATCAAAACGTTTCCATTTGGTAAAGCTAGATGAAAATCCCCTACTGCAAGTGCTGCAACTATTGCACCATTACCAACTTGCATAGTCATCTCTCCAGCTCCAAGTTTTCTATAACTTTTAAGTCCCTGTAACAAATTACAGATGTGAGATCCTGATCCGGTATCTAATACCCAGGATGTATGATTTATAGAAAAACAATTCTGAGTAACAAACACACCTGTAGATGAAGCAACAACTTGCTTATTCTTGGTGAGTGAGGCTAGGTATTCTGGGCAGTTCCTTTTCCAATGTCCTGACTTATGACAATGGAAGCATTCTGCTGTCATCATTTTTGCCTTTCCTTTATCCTTCTTGACAGCCTTCTTAACACCTTTCCTTGGTTTAGTAGTTTTCTTCATTCCTTTTTTCTTAGCAACCAATTTGCCAGAAGAGGAAGAAGATTGCCCTATAGCCAAGACTGGTGTTTGTCCCTTTTTCAAAGAACTTTCTTCCTGTCTTAACAAATTAAGCAAGGCAGGAAGAGTGGGCTCCAGATCCATCATCAAAAACTGTGATATGAATCGGGAGTATGCTGGTGTCAAGGACTGCAGAATGATATCTGTATATCTATCTGCATCTAGGCCTACGTTCAAAAGTTCAAGCTCATTGACATAGGCGATCATTTTGAGGACATGATCCCCAACAGAAGATCCCACAGTCATTTTCGTCTGGAACAGATTCCTAGACGCCGCGTACTTCATTTGTCGCGGTTGCTCGCCATACAGTTCTTCTGTATTACGAAATATGGATCTGATATCCATATTCTCATGTTGTCTCTATTCACCTTGGCCAAGGATTTCCAAGCTATAGTTATATCAAACAATCTTATGACATCAACCCCTATACTGGGAGAGACGAATCCCTTCTTGGCATCTCAATATCTACTTATGTCTCGGGATGTACCCAACAAGAACCGTTATGCACAATTCAATAAGAACTGTGGTTAGGTAAAAGTCTAAATACATCTTTACTGACATATAAGATATTGCACTCATGCCTCAGGTCAAGAGACTACTATGTACTATATCACTTGAGAACTTCTATTTGACAGTTAAGTATATTACCAACTAGATGTTCTCGGCGAGTTGTTCAGTCAACTCATTCACTAATGAGTCACCTGTATACTGTATCTTGATGTCTCACATCAATGATCTAAGAGATTGATCATCTCCTTCAAAAGGAGAAATAAAGCATACACTAGTCTAAACCAAAGTGATGATGTCCTATCTCAACACTTCATCAACTAGGAACATTTTAGAATATACGTTACCGACTAATCAGATCTCTTCATTACGATCACTATCCGAAATATCTGATAGTCTAGTATTTATTCTAAGGACATTATCTGTATATTTAGAACATCAGATAAATCTGACCAAAATAGCATACTATCATTTTGAACAAGGATGTTATATACATATAGGTCCTGTTACAATATACAATAATTTCCTGCAGGGCACCTATATCTAACACTTCATGCATAGGAGATGAGGGCAGAGCTGCATAGGAGGAGGTGCTTGTTAAGAAAGCTTGTTGATTACGGTTTGGTCTCCAAGTGGGAGATTGTTGGTCTTAAGGAATAGACCCAAACCTTCAGTCGAGGTCGACGACGCAGGCAAGGCGAGGCGTCCTTCAGGCAAGCTCCAGCTTGAGGTGAGGTCGAGTTCGAGTTGATGCAGGCGAGATCGAGTTGAGGCGCAGACGAGCTCCAGCTTCTCGTAGGCGAGGTCATTGACAAGTCACGACAGCCTGTCGCTAGGGTTCCCCCAAAAAAGGGAACCCTGTGCACGAGAAATTGGTTGAGAGATTCTTGAGGTGATTTTTTTTCTTGGCGGCAGCTTTGAGAGCGTCTTCTCCACAACGACTTTGAGCATGAGATTTTCAGAGGAAAATCTCGATGATTTGTGAAGAGTTCCTGTAGCAATTTTTTTTGGGGAGATTTTCCTGTTTGAAAATCTCACACCTTATTTGAAGAACAGAGAGTCTCTGTTGCTTCTTTCTTTTGAGAGATCAAGTTTGAGATCTTCTCTTTACAAGCTTGTAATCTTTTTTATATTAAAGGAAATTATTTGTATGGCTCCCGAGGACGTAGGCAAGTTGTCGAACCTCGTTAAAACTCGGTGTTCTCTTTTTCTTATAATTTTTTTGTTTTGCTGTGATTTCTTCTTTTTAATGTTCAACACAAGATCCGATAGGGTAAATTCCGCAGAGGGTTCATATTTGATAGGTGGTCGAGTAGTTTTAATACCTAACATTTCTCCCATCCTTCCTCTCCATTCACCTCCTCTTTTTCACTTTCCCCACCAAAAGCTATAATCCTAATATAATTATTTCATCTTTTCCTTCAACTCTGCTCTTATTCTACCCAAACATGCCTACATTGCTATTTATTTCTAGGATTCCTTAGGATTCCAGGGAGAAAAGAGACCTTTGTGAATTTTTTCTTTTGGAAGAGTATAGAATCGGCTATTTGATCTTCCAACAAATATAGCAAAATATTTTTTGCCTCTAAAAATTATTTCCATACTTTTCTAAGGAATGTGCTTTTTTCTCTATTTCATGTTGTGCGTGGAACTGGAAATAGATTTCTAATAAATTCCTTTGTTTTGGTCGGAAAGGGGGAAAAATAGAAACTCATCAGCATAAGAAACCGTTTTCTTGAGAATTTCATTATTCAGACTGAATGAAAATCATCAATTTAAGAAACCAAGATTTCTCATGTGAGCACCCTCAACAACTTCACTTAATTTTTTATTCTTTAAAATTCTGTTTCTAACTCATTTCTAGCTGTGAGCTTGAAATTTGGTTTACCCAAAAGCAGTGTCATTTTCTCATAGTTTTTTCAAAAAAAATAGGATTGAATGAAAATATATAAAAGGAAACAATTATGAAAAATTAGTTTCTTGTCTGTCGTTGTTAGACTTGTTTCCACCCATTTTTAAGCTTTTCAAGCCAAACAAAAATCCCCTTATAGAGGAATTCTCTATTTGTTTGGTTAGATTTGAGAATGGGATAATGAGCTGTCTCATAACATCACATTGAGAATATTAGTTAGAAATCTATCAAAGAGGGAAGATTCATCAAGAATTGCGGGTCCTATCCTAATTTAAAAATTATATAAAGTCATAGAAAATATATTTAAAAACTCAAGAAAATCAACAATTAACGTGATTTTTCTTTATTTAGTTTAGAATACTAGAGTTACTCGTATCTTATTACAAAAAAATAAACTAAATAAATTGAACCCACAATCCACTTTCCAATTTCTTTACATTCTTTGTAAACTAATAGGAACTTTTGAAATCTTTTTCCCCCTGAACCTAACTCTCTGTCTTAATTTCATACAAACTAAACATAAAATTTAAAGGGAAAATTGCTTTAGGCCACATTCGAAAAAACTCCATGCGCCTTTCCATATCTTGATGCAACTTTTCTTTCATTCACCATTTCCCCCTTATT